GCATAGAACCGCATACAACACTTTTTTTGCCTTTATCCCGTTCAAATGCGAGTTTATCGATTACCAGAGTGTTTTAAATTGTTGTAATATTGTCCTGACCCTTTCGATTCTCATATTATAGCCTTCGATAATTGTATATCCATTGAAATATGAGGGCTTGACGCCATTTTGGTTCTGGTCTGGGCTGAGTTGAAAAATTTTGTTAAAAAATCCAAATTTTGAATGTGTCAGGACAATTCTTAGATGATCAGGAGTTATATGTCAAAGTTTCGGACACTTTGGTCTAATACCCTAAAAAAAAGTGTTGTATTCAAATCGACTGATTTGAAGGGGGTTTCACTTCACCTTAAGAAATTCAAGCGAGACGTATCGTTTACGTTCGGGATTTTTTCTGACCGCTCGAATCGGGTACACCGTGGGAGGAACTGAGCGGGGCACCAATTTGTAGGGTGTGGATGCGAGACCCCGAAATTCCCGTCGCACTATATACTCTAAGAATGTGAATAAACATATCGTACGTAGAAATTCCAACGATACAGTGATGTGAATGCCAGTACTTTAGTTTTAATACTATCAGTTCAGTACGTTCCCCATACCGATACATTCAACTGATCAACGCCCAAGGTAGTTAGACAATCACACCGCGCGCGCGCGCGCGCGCACACATACACACACACAACTCGCGAGCAGTAGTTCTCTTTCTCGAACTCTTCCCTTCTATATTTGTAACCTTCGACAGGTTTCCTGCATAAACTCCTTTTCATTGAGAATTAAAAATCATTCTTTCGTTTTATTCATTCTTCCTCTAGTTTCTCCTTCATCTCCTTTAGAACCTATCAGTGTCGAAACATCCGCATAGAGCGTTCGCTAAGGACCCTAAAGGTTCAACTATCGTTACATAAAATCCATATACATAATTCCCAACAACATTCAGCTCATCACTTCTCCACCAAGCGAGACGGCGCGACATCTTATATAATATAAGATAAATTAAGATAATATAGGATAGTAACAGATTTTTCTTACGCCACCATTCAAAATGTTTATTTTATCTATTTTTAAACGCATATTCCACCCTTCCGTTCTCCTTGGGATTTGACACGACATGCAATTACCAAGCGTTCTTGATTAAAACGAATCTAACGTTATAAAAAAAAAGCAACTTTGCTATTTCAGCATGCCAGAGTAACAAGGTCTTAAATTTTCCAAAGATACTCAAGGAATAAAATTATAACCAGTCCGAGACTAGAATGATTCCTTCGTTACGGATTTCGAGGTTTTGTTACAATTTAAGGACCGTATTTAAGTACATTACGCGTAATGTAATACGTTCTTCCTATTTAATGGTCATTGTCAGGACTGTCCTGATTATGGACGAATGATAAAAAACTATCCTGATAGCATGCAATGCTTAAAAACACGAAATATTATTACATGTAATCATTCAGATGCCAGAATTTGTATTCTTTAGAAATTATTATGGAAAGAGAAATGCTTTTTTATTACGTAAACCCATACAACAGTATTGAATCAAATGTTTTATTCGTAACGGTTATTTTCAGGACCGTTCTGATAATAATCGATTGATAGAAAAATCTTTCAAGACGGTCCTGAAAGACACCGAGTGTCCCACTAGTGTACGATAGGTTTCTGAAAATGTCCCGTAAGTTGTCACCTGATATATATATTATTTTTAACATCCTGTCATCTAGCCTTTGAGTATATCTAAAATAGATCTTCATATAAATGTTTTACATACATTCAATAGAAACTGATATACGAGTATTTTACGCCTGCTATACATTCAGCAGAACCTTGGTAATGTGTACTCATTTACCGAGTATATGAAGAAGTATTAGCAAAGTTTTGAGGATACTGCGATTATGAGCAATAAATTTTAATATGGAATTAAATTAAAATTTGAAATCAAATTTTGGGCTCACGGTGAATATATTCATTGCTGAAACGTCAACATGATAAAATATACCACTGGCGAAATGTCCTCGCGAAATATATTATTGGAAAAGTGTCCTACTGGCAAAACATCCTACTAGCAAAACGTCTGCCTGGCAAAATGTCCTTAGATGAAACGTCCACCTGGCAAAATGTCCTTAGATGAAACATCCTAAACCTCATTTAGACATATTTAGAGTAACTGACGGGCTGGGTTTCTTGGACCCGTTCGTCAATCTAACTTAACTAAAGCACTACATCACCCTTACTGCGATTGCAGTTAAATTTACAGCGCAAAGGAACATGCAATTGATGGTTTTGCATTGGTCATTTAATATCAATACCATTACTGTTCTGGAAACCTACAGAATTCCTCAAAGTGGTATGTCAAGGTGATCTTGTTTGAAAATAAACCTCCATTTTAACACTAGGTTTACGGACATTTCTTATATACCTATTTTTACGGACATCCGTCAAGTTGATGCGTGAATGAAAGCATTTCCTTAAAAAAAAATTGTGTAATTTAGAAACAATTTAATTATACACTATTAATTTATAACTTTAGATCTAGGTTCATATCATTCCAATAATAAAAGTCAATAGAAATTACTAGGAAAAATAGTAAAGTTTCTATAACTTTGCTCATGAAATTCGAAATCCATTACATTGGCGGATTCCGTAAATCTAGTGTTAATTGAATCTCAATACTTGTATAAATTTTTTGTTAAGGTATTCAATACTAATTTCCTATAATATTTTTAAGTTATGGAGATGTTACATTACCTGTAAATGCAGTGATGCAATCTGTAAACAAATATCCTTAAATGCAACAAGAAATTCAATAGTCCAGTTACCTCTTGAGCCTTCTTCATTCTTGATCAACTGGAGGAAATTGTCAAGAACTGTGCAATGCGCGTTTCCCGTTATCTCGATAGCGCGCATTTATCAAGAAAAATAGCACATTCACTGCAAGCGTTTGAACTCATCACATTCTCTCCAGGTTCGTTCGAGAGGAAATGAATAATTCGACCTCGAGCGTTCTTCGTGTCTGTTAGAAGATCGAACGGAAACCAGGAACATGACTTTAGCGTGGACTTCGTGAAATAGATCACCGAACTCCATATCAATGACTGATTTAACTCGGAATTGTGACAAAATTCTTCCTTACTAACGACAGACTATTTCCAAAGATCTTCCGATATTCTGAAAATTAGCAAATATAAATAAATTCATAAACATTTTGTTTAAACAAATAATGTTATATTATCTAATAATGAATTTCAATTTGTACCGATCCCTAAATTTAACAGTGAATATATTAACTTGTATATGTATCGACTACTTATTATGTCCGTCGACATAGCTTCGATGTAACTGTAGAAGAACAATGCCTATAAATATATGGAATAGAACAACTAGAAAGATTAACTCAGAAGGGCTACGATCGAATTATAGTACAGTTAATGTATTATCGCAGTCGTTAGAACACAATTCCATCTATTCGTAATTCACAGCGTGTAAAATATATAGTATGAGAATGCTTCTATAAATAATACAAGAAGTAGGTCAATCTGTAACATTGTGTGTAAGTATCATAAAAACTGTAGTTATTTTTATCTCTAGACTTACAACGTTTAAAACTAATGTTTTCCATCTGACGTTACTTTAATTGAACAATTCATGATATAAATTCAACGCGCTCATTGAAATGCGACAAAGAGAACGCAAGACAATATCAGTAAGTTATCGCGTAGGAATCACGTACAAAAGTTACACTGAAAGTAATAAGGGTATTTTTAATAGTGACTTTTTATCATTGCCTTAACTAAACAGGTGCAATATGTGCACCCGTACAAGCCCTGGACCCAAGGGGGGCTCTGGATTAGCTCCGAGACGTGATTGAAAAAAAAAATTATTCGCTGAAATTTAATTCAAAAAAGGGCAATCGATATAATGATTTTGTATGTCCTATTCCGAAAACTACCGCTTAATGTAATAACTATTACATGTACGTTTCTATACAATATTTGTTTCGTACAAAAATGTTATATGCTTGATACGTAAAGATTATTAATAAAATGAATGCTAAAAACAGCTGCTGGTTGTTGAGTGTATCCATTTTATTAGTTTTATTAATATCCCGCCTCCCCCAAACAAAAAAATCTGAGGCCCTAAAATAACATCTGGCACAGGGCTCTTAGGAAACTAGTTTCGGCACTGTTCTTGACTGAAAAAGTTAAAAGAAAGTACTGAGACAGACACCGAAAACACCAATTAATGTACAGTAAGTACATCTTACAGCATTTTTTGATGATTATCAATGCTTCTTGAAAAATTTTAATACTATGAATCATCGGAGTCACATTAACTATAATATATTCAAACCACATTTTACAATGAAGGTGAAATCGAAACTTAAATTCCACTTATTAATGTTTATAACTACACCAGTACTCAGATATCACCATTTCGTTTGTTTCATTCTATAATGCTTAACTTGAAGAGCCCCGAATAAATATGAAACAATTGTTAATTGATAAATCTGTTAAAGGTATTCCTGGGAAGACGACGGTAAAGAAATTTCAAATACCGTTAGTATTACTCTTTTGCACGAACACGGGTGCTACAGAAATATTGAATAAATAAAGAGACGTGTGTTCGCAAACTAAGAAGTTTCAGGGGCTCGTCGACGCACATCTGACCTCGCGGATCAGTGGGATAAACCGGAAGCACCGGAAGCACCGGAAGTACCGGACGTGCGTCGGAGTAGGGTAGGCCCTGAAGCAATCGTAGGTGTTGCCCGTGGGTCCCCACGGATCTCGTATGAGCGCGTGACGCTCGCGGTGACGCCATGACGTATCGATCCGTTCGCCACGCACGTTGACGTCACGATCACGACCTCAGTCAGACTCAGAGCACGTGAACATCACGCCGCTGATCACGCGCCGGCCAACTGACAGCCTTGCCGCGGTTGGTCCGCTTGGGCGAGCCCCTGCAGTTGATTGGCCCATCGGCTGCGCGCCGCATGATCACTAACACACCCTGGGATTGCACGTCGGGTTGCCGGACACGAGAAAGCTTCACTATGCCGCGAGACGCCCGTCGGACAACGTCCCGCCCGCGTACAGAAGTGCTCCTTTTGCGCATTCCGCTATACTTTTCCACCCGGTCCTCAAATACAAACGATGGATTCAACTCCGGTGCCCCTGTCTCCGCCGGCCTCGCCACAGCTCAAGCAAGTACACGTAAGTCGACACATTCAATCGTGACTCAAGATATATATTCGAAGAACTTACGATACTTGAAGATGTCAGTTAAATGTCCCGCCAAGAGATTCACTGTCCGCCCGCGAAATACGAATTACTTGTCCGACGATTTTTTCGGAGTTTCTTTTTTTTATGTCAAGAGTTTATGGGTGGGTAGTGCCGTAATAGGGAATGCAATGAATCACAAAAGTACTTGATTTTCAATTTTGGGTGTTTATTTTCCTTTTCATTTGGAATGGATGCATAATGGCCTTTTCATACCGAAGTATTATACATGTGTTTATTTATCGTTTCTGGTTATTTAAATAAGAAAATTGCTTGTATTATATTTGCACAAGTATTATCAATATATTCCGCGCTTGGATTTTGGTAATCAATTGGCGTATGAAGTACGCGTCGAGTAGTAAAAAATGAATGTGTAAACACGAATTGAAATTTTATTACTTTATCGGGGCCGACTGCTTTGTCTTTTTCAATATACAACAACCTTATATATGAAATGAAAACATTGAAGAGTGACTCGTATATGGTCCACTAATGCCGAATGGAGTTCCACAAACTCCCTTAAATTGATCGTCAGATGTAGCGTTGTTCGAGCTATAGCATATTTCCTAAATGCTAATTCCTTTTTCAGGTGGAGCCGCTGCAATCTTCCTTTAGCGTAGCAGCCCTCCTGGGCGAGAAGTTATTGCAAAAGGAGAGCGTAAATTTGGAAACGCGGACGGGCCCCGAGAACTCCGCTCGACCTGGTTTGCCTCTCACTCCTCAGCCTTCTGACTCCGAGGAAGACGAGCCACCCCGTAAGCGGCGCTGCAATGACAACTGTGAGCTGGCCAAGGTGAATGTCTGCCTTACCGGTCGTGTCCGTCTTTCCCTTCGAAGCTATTCGAAAGACTGTTTATCTCGGTCGGTATTCGGATGTTCTCAGTAACGTAAGAGGTTCAAAAGTCTGGGCTTTTCTTATCCTGAGAGAACATTTGACCGGTCTCATCGATAAACATGTTGGCTTAAAACCGTTCAAGATGAGTGGTTTTGCGAACAAAATTACTTTTCCACTGCCTTCTCGGAATAGAAATCATCTCATGTGATAAACGATTGTTTATTAACGACTCGTAAATTAATAGCAATCGTTATTACGTTTAAGGTTTTATTAGAGGGAACACCACCACCGAGTCCTGAGCCATCTAGAGTGTCAGTAATAATGAAGGCAAACCGTGACGGCACCTACAGCCCCGCAAGTTTATTGCCGAAAATCTTCGAGACGCCCTCGAGTTTTCCCAAAACTAATATGGGAATTAACGCAAGTCAAAAAAAAGCACCAGAGGAAACAGAAAATGTGTTAAAGAGCTTGAAGTTCAAGATGAGCTTAAGAAAGGAAGAAATCATCGTTAACAACAAGAATACTGATCGCGAGACCGTGCATCCCCGACTACAGCCATTGGCTCCGAAACCTACTCCCATTGCCATGGTCACGGGACTTCTAGGACCTAGTTCTTTGGTGTTGCCGAGGGCACCGCTGTTCCTAGTAACCGCTCCGGCTATCACGACGAATGACACGAGTATAAGTCTCCCGGAAGCTGCGGTTCGCCGCAGGGTGTATGAATGCGAGCATCCAGGTTGCGGGAAGAATTATTTTAAATCCTCGCACCTGAAAGCCCACACCCGCACACACACCGGCGAACGACCTTTTCCTTGTCCTTATGAGGACTGCGGTCGTAGATTCTCTAGGAGCGATGAGCTCTCGCGGCACAAAAGAACCCACACCGGGGAGAAGAAGTTTGTATGTACGGTTTGCCAACGACGTTTCATGAGGAGTGATCATCTGGCAAAACATGTCAAACGACATGCTCGCGATAGAATTCCTAACGGTGGACAGGGTGCACTTCCTCAGATGGTACCTACACCCCTGAGAGTTAACTTGTTGCCAGTCCTCACACCCGGGTTACCTCAACAACATATATTGCCGCCACGGCTGGCCGCATGAAGCGATTTTCCTGATACCGTCGAAAGCGGTCAACTTATAAGCAAGTCATCGGGATGAATCCCGAAAAGTATCGCTCTCCCTGGTGGATCTACTGGGTGGCCCTGCTAATTTTATCACCGATAAAATGATTCCTTTTCGAAGTGAATTTAAAGAACATCACTCGTTCATTTGGTCGTTTCGTAGAGCAAATAATCGTGTTGTTGTTGATCTTACACATGGTGTAGACCTTGGCAACTCGAATAATGGTCAGTCTACAGGCAGAAATCTGTTAATGTAGATTGCAAAGGACTGCTTCATTTGGGAGATAGACCACGAATCGAATAATAATTGACAATTGTAGCTGATCGTAGCTGACAGCGGCTTGTCAGCAGGTCGTTCCAGAACGATATTAAGTAATGCATCGCAATCCTTGATGAGTACTAGTTAAAAAGTGCTAGTTAAGATACATAAATTAAAACCATTGGTGGTGGCCAATATGTAAGTTGGCCATTGTGATGCGAATACAGTATGATTATGTATGAAAGAAATTTGAGCAATACTTCGAAAAATTCGAAGTAGTAAAAACGTCCGGAATTTTAAATGTGGACGATAAAAAGACTGTTTATTCGCGGAATCTCTTGTATCTGCCACATTTGAGCAAGTTCGGTCGCAGTTTAGAGGCAAAACTTTTTACTTCAACAGCATATACTGTTCCTCGCTTTCATATTCGGTTTCACTTGCTCAAGACAATTCAAAATATCAATTTTTTGTTAACTCTGTGGATTATTTTTATCTACTAAGGTCTACTTTGGGTCTTCTAGACCTCTACATTTATTTTTACATTTCTTTTAATAGAAGTGAGGATAATTTTAAAGGCACTACCAAGATCCCGTAAAATTCTAAGTCATATAACTTTTAGTCTAGGAAAGCCGGTTTATACATGTATTACAGCTAGAACAGGGGATGCTGTAAAAGTGTTACCAAACTATGAAGAAACTGACTGCTACTAAGATAGATTTACGCTCCTCGCCAATTTTTCTGGCGGATTTTTCGCAATTTTCATCTATCATCGTAGGTGATCAGGAAATAAACAATACAATTAATACTTACATTTCTTTGGAGCCGTGTTGGGACTCTAGGTAGCGAGAATACCGATAAAAAGTAAAATGGTGCTTACAATCTCGAAATGATACAAAAAAAGAAGCAGTTTAGGAGTCTACGGCCGTCCGTAAACCTAAGTATCTAAGTGTGTCTGTGATTTGTGATGCAACCGAGCCGTGGAATATTTATTGGTAAGAAAATTAAAGGCGTGGGTGCTTTGCAAGGTGCTCTAAACCATAAACACCGCCTTTTTAACCGCGTAATAAAATTTGCCACTATCCTCGACCTGCGAATCGCAGTGTACGGTTTAACACCCTTTTGACCGGGATACAAGACTTATTAACTGTAAATAGAATGTTTTGTACATATGCGTTGTTACATGAAAACCAAATAAAAAGACTTGTATACTTTCGTAAACTGTGTCCATGTAAAGGCTTGATTCTTCATCAACTGTATGCCTAACGATAGTCCGAACCCCGTTTCCTAGATCCTACCAAGTTTATCAGATTACATAAATAAGTCATTTTAATTAATAAGTATAAAATCGTACTACTGACTTGTTATTAGGTAGCATTCTATTTTTTTACATGGACTAAAATAGTATATAACAAAATAATAGGATCAGTAAAATAATAGGAATAGTATCATGATAACTGTTTAGAAAATTTTTCTTCAGTTACAAACTTTTGTACTTGCTTTATGCATATAATCTTGAATCATGCATTGCGTACGTATCAGTACAGTTTTTGTGCGGAATCGCTGCAATGAAAACAAAAGTTACTGAATTTGCGTGGTGATTGATACAAAATACATTCAGTACCCAGACACCGCGGAACGTGAAATATCCGTAAATTAATCGTATATAAATGTTTATTGAACGTATGTAAGATACATATATAGATATCAATGAACTCTATTTTAGATACACCCAAAGGCTAGATGTCCGGACATGGTACGTAATATGTATGGTTAATCCACGTCTATAGATATTCATACGTATTTGTAAAAAAGATGAAATTCATAATACTTTTTGAGAACTTGTTCAGTATAGCTATGTAGACAAATTCTGATGTTTTTGACAGAGAAAAATTGTTTTCAATTGTCGGGATTTGAATCCAGGACTCACGGGGACGAAGCAGGAACGTTAACCACGATGCTACCAAAGCCTATGAAAGAAAATTTTTCGGACTTATGTAAACTGTTGTAAACTTATTCTTCAGAAACCTCGTAAGTGATTGTAAATTTAAGTCATGTAAAAATTGTAACAGCACGTTATAAAATCATCTTTTTATTTAAAAGTGTATAATAAATGTATACCGATTCACTTTTAAGATACTAAACTCAATTTTAGTACAATCTTATATACTAAAAGTGCATGAACTTATGAATATTACGTAAAAATAGTTCATTTAACTGTGTGCAATTTTTTACAGTGCAACTACATTTTTATAAGTCTGTGAAAGCTGAATAAAAACTATCAATGTAACGTTTTCAAACAGTTTAGATTTTTATGCAGGTTATCTAGACTTCCATGATATATGTACTGAAAATATTGGCGTGAAAAAGATTTACATATATATTCACGAGATATTTTCATGATGCATACCATAGATAATATAAGTTTTCTATACTTATGTTCTAATTTGTACGTCGACTATAAATATATTATACTTCATACGGTGCCTGGTAATACATCATAGTTTATACATACAGTGGTAAAAAATCATGATGTATGGTCACCAGCCAAATAAGAAGTAAATATAAAAATCAGAGTATAGACGTAATTAACAGTTTTATCAAGTTGGAATTTAGATATAATCATTAAGTATGTATGAATAATGTTACGTTACATGAAGTGTCTTTTTATTTTTCTAAACGTATTTTGAACAATGGTAGTTGTCTACTGAAACTATAATATATTTTCTATGCGCCAAGAAATAAGTAGATATTTGTAGATTAATAATGGATATATAATTTTCATCTGCAATAGACGTAGATATTTATATATATCCTTTAGATATTTTTTCGGTTGACGATAGATGATATACATTTGCTTTACCTATAGACCTAATTTAGATGATTAATTTACGTATATTCCACTTCATGGGTAGCCTGGGTCGAGATAGATAAGTATTTTTCTGTAGAATTCAATCGGAAACCACGAACACTTATGGAACTGGATCGTTGGAACGAATTCGAATTTCGATGTTTTTTATTATATTCCGGACCATATGTATTTTAAAAGAATGTTGACACGAGCTTAATACAAACATTTTTTACATTTTCACGTATCGTTTAGATTGTTCATGTCTTCAGGTTTTGAAGAGAATCTTGATTCTTTGAAGATTACTTTGATACATCCGTTTTGCAGGCATTTTTCCAATGTATACTCTGATCAACGAGTTTATAACATCCATTGTTTGCTATATTTGATACAAGAGACTATTTATAACAAGGAAAGTTTAAATGCAATTAATTGTTTTATATTTGAAAACTGTCTTGGACAGTTAAAGAAAATGCTCCCAACCGCCCACTGGCTCAAATATGCAACAGATTATCTGAAAAAATTAATACAATGCGATATTCAGTACACACAGCGATTGATTTTAAATTTGACAATATGGGTAAAGTGATTTCAATACTAGTAAATCATAACACAATACCAGTATCAAAGGGTGAAAAATGCTGTAAATGATTTATTTGTTAAAAAATGGGAAAGTTATGAAGGTTGTCAACATTTTCTTAGAACCAGATGTTCATTTTTGTGAACATATTTTCCAAAATAGTTTGACTTATTTTGACGATCCACCAATTTGAAGTTAATTTAAACTTATTTCTATGTAAATGCATTGTTTTGTCACTGAATAACTTCTACTATATGGCTGTTGGTCTCCTACATAAATATTAAGCATTATGACGGGTATTTCTCCCTGATTTTGGCGGTTTATTTTTCCAGGCCGTTTTTTGCAAATGTGGCGGTTCCGATTTCACACATTTATCGGATGCCTCGCACCTTTCCCTCGCATTCGATCCGAGTCCCGTTAATAATCACTTCAAACTTCCTAAATGGACTCAAATGAAAAGCTTGGAGGGCGCCAGTTACTATAAAGTACCGAATTTCCCGGCGCGTCCTTCGGCGTCCCTTTCCTAAGGATTTTTCGCTCTCCCCGTGAAAGCCGTCCCAGAAGGCGAGGACGAAGCGCGCAGGGTATCCGTTCGTGGCCCGCCCCCGGATGGACTTTGATCAGGAAACTCCGGAGAATTTCGCTCCAAATACATTTAAAACCATACGCGAACGGCACCGAATACTTTACGCCATAGTTTGGCCCGTCAATTCAATAAATATTTTTTTCTCGAATAAAAGAACTTATTATAGACTCATATTTGGCATAAAGAAAGTACATTCCGTTTTGTAGATTCTGTAATTTTTTCAGATTTTTTGGAGCTATCAACTATACGCTACGCCAACTTGAAAACATTCAAGGTCACGTTTCGCTCACTCGACGTATTCATCATCGTGTTCTGCCCACATTCTTTTCCTAGCACTCGCATTCCTTTCCATCGCACCCGCATTCCTCGCATGTTTCCTTGAGTTACCGCAAGTGGCGCCATGGTAATCTGAGTCCGGCGCGTCGTCGCGTACATGATGAAGAACCAATCAGCATTCCGCTCTTACCTCCTGGTCACTTATGTTGCAGTTCTGATTGGTTTCCACCCTCGATGCGACGACACGCCGCGTTTTGTGTGGTACACAACGCGCTTACTGATAAAGAACCGTCCCCTCTGCAATGCAACGAACGGTTTTATAAAAACATCGGTGAAATTTTGTTGAGTTACGTGAAAAATGGATGATTTTCAGATTATTGACATCATTTTCAGATGACATGACATTTTTTCAGGTTAGACATTGATCATGACATTTTTAGGTTAAATATTTCGTTGAAAATATTTTCATCAAATTTTCAAGAGAAATCGTTTCAAATTTTCGATATCGAAATCAATATCAAAACCGTTTACATTAGGGATAGTTTAGTTTTCTTTCGATTGACACTTTTAGGTTCGTATTTTAGTGGTATCGTCCTTTCATACTTTTTACATCGATCGACACATTTTTAGATTCCTGATTTCTGGTATCGATATTTCCAAACTGATGATACCTTGCTTGTACTGATATTAAATTAGATTATTTACATTCATAACTTTATATTAATACTGGTATCATCTTTTCATAGTTTTATTCATAGTCTTAACCCACTGAACACCAAACCTAACAGTTACGTAACTTAAAACTAACAAATAACATAACGTTTGTTACAATGTAATAACCTAACAGTTACGTAACTTTAAGCTAACAAATAACATAACGTTTGTTACAATGTAATAACCTAACAGTTACGTAACATAGAGCTAACTAGTTACATGATATTTGTTACTATCATATCTATATAAATGTAGCATAACTTTGTAACTCTCATCTTACATTATGTTACTGTCCTGATATTACTGTGATTATGCAGCACATATTTGTAACAAAACAGAACTACATTGGTGCTGTCATTTTTTTTTACATCATCGTCATCGTCATTGTCATAATTCATCGTCAAATATCCTAAGATTAATATATGTCATGTTTTGTTTACTACTCGTATGAAAAAATGTGACTTTAATTCATACGTGCATATACATTATCAGTCATTGTTTGCTAGTCGAATGAAATCCTAATTGTCTTTAATTAAAATCAGATAGTTTATCATTACATAATTTCATTGAAAGTCTGATTTGTCATTTAATATCTAACTATTGTCAAGTACCAAGAAATAATTAAAAATACAAAATTATATAATTTTGGATAAAATTGCGTGATCTTTTTTATTAAATGGATGAAATAATATTATTTTAAGGTAAGTGAAATTATCACATTAATGTAACATTGATATAACATGTGATCTAACATGTTACATTACTGAGTGGGAAATAATAACTAACATCTAACTTCCATGTTACTTTTATGCTACATAACATGTTAGTTTCGAAAACGTAACATTTACCCAACAGTTATATAACAGTGTTCACTGGGAACATTGATCGACACATTTAGATTAGTTCAGTGATTTCTGGTATCGATTCTTCTAAACCTTACTTCTTTTGATTAAATTAGATCATCTCTCGACTCTTCTTTTACTTTTACATAAAATAATTCAATTTTCTTCCGATACAAATTTTAACATTAACACGTTCAGCCTTGTTTACTAGTAACTTGAGACTTTCTTTTTATCTACATTATAATAATTTGTAGTTTCTTTCGATACCAGTCAATTTTCTTTCGACAATACCAGTTTTACCATTGGCACTTTTAGTTTGGTATACTGGTAACTCGATACTTTTCTTGTATTACACATACATTTCTTGTACTAGTA